TTCGGTTCGGTACGTCTCACTTGTGGTGCTTTTCCACTGCATGGTACGGTACAGTACGGTTCGCTTCAGGTCGCTTTAAATGGTACCTGGTCTGTTGAGGTTCCAAGCGTACCATACCGGTACTAAAATGTGACGTGAAACACTGCAGATCACTGATTGGTCAGACAGAATCGTCACTACCAGCGTCACTACTAGCGTCATTGGATTTGCGACACGAGACACGAGACACTTTTTTAGCAGTATTTTTGTTTTGCTGCCATCAGCCTCATTTTAAACACATTTTTCCATCTAGCAGTTAAAAACAACCACATACCGAGAATCAGGAACACCATCCCCTCGATAGTCTCCATTGTTCCTGTGTTGTGGGTTTGAAAATGTGGCGCTTTTAAGATGATGTCATGGCAGTAGAGGCGCGCGCAAATAACGATCAGTCCCACACACTTTGAAGGGGTACTACTGCAGTGGAAACGAAAAGCGATCCGAACTGTTCCGCGCCGAGTCGAAGCGTACTGAGCCGAACCGAACCGTACCGTACTATGCAGTGGAAAAGCGCCATATGTAGACAGAGTGCAATGTTTCTGGATCTCTGTCCAACCCTTTGTCTGTTTTGGTGGGAAGCTGAAAGGAAAGGCTCACTCCAACCAAAGGTTGTCTCACTGGATAGTGGACGCCATTGCTTCGGCTTACCAGCAGCAAGGTCGACCATGCCCCCTTGGAGTGAGTGTGACTTCCTCTTGGGCTCTAGCACATGGCGCCTCGCTAACACAGAAGCCTAAAATTCTCGGGAAAGCAGCATTTGTCCAAGTTTCAATCTTGACCGTTCTATTTCATCACAAACAATCTAAAAACAGGGCCTTAAGTGCAAAATACCGAACTAACCCTTTAACAAATAAAGTTGGATTGGATTGGTCTGGCGCTACTTATGCAAATTAATACTATACATATCGCAGACAGATGAGCTTTCAAATAAGTGGGACATTTTCTATAGTTTTTACCATAAAACCTTTAGCTTTTGGGAATGTAATTTAAATGTTGTTTTATCAAACCACACAGAATGTAATCATAAAACAGAAGATAATAACAACTCTCTGATCTTGTTTTTGTTAGGTTGAATCAGGGCAGAAGTTCCTGTTGGGTTTTCTGATGCCCTAAAGTTAACAACCTCTAGTTGTTAACTTTACCTAAAAACTGTTTACTGTGATTATGGAGTAATTTTGCTGATAAAAGCAAACAGATGAGGAACCAATAAAGTAAGGCTGAGAGAGAGAGAGAGAGGGAGAGGCAAGTCTATCCTGCCAGTGTCTTTGCATGCCTCAGTAATTTCTGCCTCCTCTTCTTCCTCCAAATGGGCACAATGGCTGCTTGAGTGGGAATTGTGCCGTTGGAGGAAAACAACAGAGAGCGTTGATCTGTTTGCAAGTGGACGTGTGTGTAATCCATGTATTCTCTCGAGTGTTTGTGTGTGTGTGCTCAGTTCTTTGATGAGACTAATCTTCATGCGTACAGAGCAGGCTATAGTGATCCTATGAGATCATATATTCTTCGCCCTATTTAGCAGTGTATGAAATCCAATAAAAGCCCCTGTGCATTTCTTTAAGGAACATGGGCAGTTTGCACAGTCTGTATTAATCATGGCTCACAGATCACAACAACATTTATGACTGTGACCTTTAAAATACTTGTATATATGTTCAAAGGTGTGCACTACCTTTCAAACGTTTGGAGTCAGTAAGACTTTTTTTATTATTATTAAATTAATACTTTTATTCATCAAGGATGCATTAATTTGATCAAAAGTGGCAGTAAATACGTCTGTAAGGATTTTTTAAAATATAAGTTCATTTGAACTTTACATTCAGCAGAGAATCGTTAAAAAAAAGTATCACGGTTTCCACAAAAAATAATTAGTAGCACAATACAATAATACTAATTGTTTGAATAATTAAATGCATATAAAATGAAAATGAACACAAAAGAGACTTTACAAAATCGTACGGACCCCAAACTTTTAAGCAGTAATATAGGGTTTTTTTTTTGTTGTTGTTTTTTTGTTTGTTGTTTTTTTTAAAAACACTGACAACAAGGACCAAAATGTTTCTTCCATTCAAATGTGAACAGTAACACTCAACCACACTTGTTAAATCTTAAGAAAAATGGCATATAAAGTATGCTAATATTAGTCTCTCTGTTTCCAGATCAGATGGTGGACCTGCGCCTAGACATGACCACAACGCATCCCTGAAGTGTCAGCAGAGGTTGTGACACGACAGCCATCGGCACTGAACCTCAACAAACTCGTCTCCATAACGGCATGATGATGCCGATCTTTAACCACATGGATCTAAATGTTACGATCTGATGTTCCGACTTCTGACCTGTAATCAGCGCCGGCCCGAGCCTTTTGGGGGCCCTAAGCAGAATTTGATTTGGGGGCCCCTCCCACGACGCGGAGTCACCTGTGTTTGACGATTATTGACATAAATGTCACGCAAAAATGATACATTATAAATGAATACACTGAGGTTATGTATTAATAAAAAAATAGATGCCTACTTAAATAAAAAAGTTTGAAAACAGTCTTAAAACTGTCTCAAAACATATACAATAAATTATTTGCTAAAATTATGACAAAACTGAGAAATTAGAAACGTAAGAGCAATGATACTTTGGCCTATCCTCCTGGGACCCAGGAATAGACTTTTGTCCACTGTAGTGGACATTATATTTTAGTGTATTTCTCTGACACCATGCATGTCACATTTTTTTTTTCTGGATGTCCTGTAAAGAGCACATTCAGGGCAATACAGAGATACCAAATGTTTGGAGGTTTCACCATGAAAACAACTTCTCCTTGGTCTTTAAAAATGTCTAACATTAATTTAGTGATCAAATGTAGCACTCTTATTGAAATATGGTAATATATTGTAATTATAATTTAAATCTAACTACTTTTCAAATTGTATTTCATCAACCAACATCTCATGAAAATGTTATGGGGTTTCAAATGAAAAAAATGACTTTCCGTTACAGGGCATTGATTTCATTCATGTCCACTGTAGAGAACATCAGGACATAAATCATGTTTATCAGGCATTCTGGGAGACATAACAAGTGAATATGTAAATAAATTATACGTCAATATTCTTATGACATATTAGATATTATTATTAAAATGTTGCTTATTATTACGCCAATGCTTACACTTCTTTCCTCATTAAATGTTGCTCCAAGAACACATTAATGTGCAAATTAGATACAGTGTATAGATACTTTGCATTGAATGGGAATATTAATTTATGCCAATTTTACCCATATATTGCATAAAGTAAATTGGTGTATCAATTAATTCCATTATATCTTTCATAACATAGTTGATAATCATCTTTATACAAATTTTAGTTCAAAAAAATCCTGAAACCCCAAAATGTATTGGTGATTGGAAAAAAAATCCCATTGTTTTTGCCTACACATTGTATGTCATTTAATTTTAACAACTGAGTCCTGGTGTCCACTACAGAGGACAAAGTATTACATATGAATAAAATATAATTTTTCAAAAAGGTTTTTTTTTTTTTTTACCATTTGTTTATTATGCTCTAAACAATGTGATGACATGAAAAAAAACTAAATTAAAAAAAAAACTTTCTGGGTCTCAGCTATTGTTGAAAACTAAAAATATTACTAGCCTATTTCTCAACTGTCTCAATACAGAGTAACTATCCTCAAAATCTTTATTATTGTTATTATTATTATTGTAACAGACTTTGTTATATAGTACATGACATAATCAACACAGTCTGTTACTATAATACCGGTTATGATGTTCTGGCGCTCGTTGTATGTGTGTATGCAATGTATTTTTCCCCTCGGGGCTTGCCGTAGATGGGTCGTGCGCACTTGCTAGGCTACTGGAGTGTCGCGGGTGTTTGGAGATCTGATGTGTGGTATAATAAAGTGGAGAAGAGTTCAAACTGCTATGTTTATTATTTATTCAAACTGCTACCCTTACACCTTGAAGGATAAGTTCTCCTGCGGGCTATTTTCTCCAACTTAAACCGATACCGTGACTAGGCGCAGTTGCGCACGAATTGTCTATGCACGCGCGAGGTGTCTAGAAGATTATACGTATGACTGAAACGCTGGCAGACAGAGCAGCAGTTGTAACTTGTAGGCAGGTATATTGACCATTAAATCAGAATTTTGTTGTCTTGAACTATTCATTCAGTCATATTCATTCATTCATTGATTTATGTCACTTGTTTAAGTCATCTAAAAATATAAAAATAAAAAATAACCTCGATTAGGGGGCCCCCTGGTGGCCAGGGGGCCCCAAGCAGCCGCTTAGTTCGCTTATGCCTCGGGCCGGCCCTGCCTGTAATGCTGCCTGAATCATAATCATACTCTACACTGTTGCTTCATTGGCCAGAGGAGAACTGGCCCACCGACTGAGCTTGGTTTTTTCCCCATTCTGTCACCCGATGTAGATTTAGTTCCTTGACACTGTCGCCTTTGGCTTTTGGCTTGCTTAGTTGGAGACACTTAATATTCAACAATATTATTGATCTGCCTGCATTGATATGAGAACTGAACTGAGCTGGACGATGACATCACTGTTTTCTCCAGAGTGGCTACATAGAGTATATAAATTAACTAAATTAATAAATTTTTTACACCAAAAATTAAACATCAGTAAACTTAGTTAAGCTGGACTATGACACTATTTTCTTCTAGATCTGCTGTACAGATGAAACAAACTTTAACGGCATTATTTTCCTGTTATGACTGTAAAGCTGCTTTGAAACAGTCTGTATTGTAAAAAGCACTATAGAAATAAAGGTGACTTGACTGATATATGTAGTCATGCAGTCAACAACACTCAACATTTATCAAACACTTTGAACATCTCTAAGGCCAAAACGTCAAACATCCAACAGTTTTTGAGGTGACGTGAGTGATGGGAAAGATGAGCATGAGGGGAGGTTGAGAAAAACAAGCCTCACTCTTTGATGTGTTTACGACAGGGCACAGAGTTTCTCATGCAGGTGCCCGTGAGGCGCTCCACATTCTCCACGATGACAAAGGGCTTCTCCTCTAGTGTTACAATGGTCAGGTGATTGTCGTCTGTCTCTGCATCGCCAAACGAGTTAAAGCGAGGCCACACCGGATATTTCAAGGTCAAACTCTGGTTCTCCCATTTGCCCATCTGGAAATAAATCAAAAAGAGGAGTTTCATATTCTTGCTTAATTTTACATTTTAAAGTAGTTTATTGGCATTATTGTTGTTCACTTGCAATATTGCCATGTATCAATACACACAATAATAACAGTGACAGAAAAAAAAAGGTGTTAAGCATAATAAGAATCGTTAAAAAAAATCAAACTAAACATCAAATAAAAATAATTAAAAATATATTAAAATATTTGTTTGGCTGAATGTGGAATGTGTTTATTTTTATAGTAGTGAAATGGAAAGTCTGCCTCTGTCTTGACATCACCGGTGAGTCATTTTTTCTCTGGATGCCATGTTTGTCTGTCAGTCTTCTGTGGCTAGACTGTGATCACTAAGCCTGCATTTGCTGAGGATCCATCTCTACTTTGTATCTTTCTCTCTGTCCCAGAGGGCAAGGTGTGGGGATAAAGCAATGCTTGAGAGCAAATCATATCAGATCCACAGAGGCCAGCCCAACACATTCATCAAATAGTGCTACATAGTCCCCGTGACTGAATATGCATCAATACACAAAAATACAAAAAACAGTGACAGGAAAAAAATAAAAGAAATAAAAAATAAAGATGACTGTCAATTTAAGAGATTCCAGCAGAATTCAAATTTAATTAACAATAAATAAATAATAAAACAACATTATGAAAAGCTTGCATTTAGCACATTCCTTACATCCAAATATGCATACTTCCCTACTATACAGTTAGGTAAAAAGTTGTTCGACAAATTAGTATAATGTTTGAGCACTCAGTCTTCATTACACATAGGCTAACAATACCCGGATGATCCATAGATTGGTGCCACTGGAACAAGAAAAAACCCCTGGAAAAAAAAAAGTTTAGTCATGATGTCAAGAAAACAAGCAGATCTGCTGGAGTCTAAGTCAACTATCCATTCCACAGTGTACTGGAGAAAGATGAACAGTGATCACACTAGCTGCAGTAGTGCTAACCAGTGTCACTGGAAAATTGGGTTAATGTTGTTAATCCTATCAGCGAGTTTTAGGAGGCAGCCGTAATCACGGTCCTCCTACCCCTGATGAACCAGAGACTGAGGACGTGTCTGACACCGTCAGAATTCCCTTTATCAGCAGCACAGCCGCCATTTCAACCGCAACCTTATTAGAGTCAAAGCGCCTTTCTTTTTGAATTCCCCCCTCCAACTTTCTTCAACACTTCTTGTTCTACTGTGTGAAAATTTCATTTCATTAATCCGTTTCATTTGGTTTGATGGTACATTTCTTTTGTCAAGCATTGTGGGTAAAAATGGCTCACCCAGCTTATCTGTCTCAGCTGAAGACAAAAGTAACTCCTAGCAGTTTCTGTCAGGCTTCCCGTCCTAAAATAATGATTAATGAATTCAATATTTTCAGATTGTCTTTTCTGAAAATAAAAGGACGTGACTCCTCTTGTATTTTCAGTCATTTACAGAGATAGCGTGCAAACATTTTAGTGACGTTGGAGTAAAGACGTGTAATATTCGGGCACAATTCCCTCTTTGCGTTTCGATAGTGATGGTCATGCATGTCTCTCAGGATAGATGTTTCTGTACTTGCTTATGATGGTGTGATAGGACACAAGAAACTGAATAATTCAGTGTATTTTGGAAGGGTGAGCTGACGTCAGCAAGGCCACCAATGAAAACAGTGCAAATGCTAAGAACAACAGAATTCTGCCTTGAGTTGAAACTGCACGAGCTATTAATTCTTAATGGAACAGGATTCAGAAATTGCTAAACCTAGCTCTCGCTGCTTTTTTTTTCTTCTTTCTTCTTTCTACCATCTCATGAGTAGTAGACACACTTTCTCTCTTGCTTTCATTCTGCTCGTTTTGGCCTCCGGCTCAGCTTTCTCTGCCTATTTTTCCCCTGTTATTTATTATATATGTTTGAGCATTTGTATTTGAAACTTTGTTGCCCTTGAAACTCTTCAGCAAACATTCATTACAAATGCACACACATACCTATATTGTAAACATCCAGACATGGCACTCAAGGGTCCCTATCATACACTTGGCTTAATGCAGCACCAGGCGCAACATAAGTCACTGTATGTCGCTGGGCTCTGTACTGTGAGGTTGCGTTCGTAGTGCTGTCGCTCTAATGTTATTGGTGAACTGCACGTATAGCCATATCTATACAAAATACCATCACAAGTGATATATACAACTATATAATTTTAATTTGACTTGGAATAAATTACTTTTAAGGCTAAAAAGAAACTGTATGCTGTTGGGAGAGTGTTTTTATATTATAACAGCAGTGTTCAGTGGATTAAATCATTTACTAGATTAACAAATTAAACTTACTCATACTGTCATAAATTATTAAAACGTCATTCGAATTTGACAATTAATCAATTTCCTAGTCCCTAATAGTCAACGTAATGCAGGGGAAATTGTAAAATGAACTTCAGCAGTACTAAATGTGCATCATAAAATTTCAACACTCAAACTAACGTTAAATGTATAAATTAAACTCACTGAGACTGTCGACAGTTTCTTTTCCATGCATCGTTTTATTATTCATGTATGTGGTTACAGTCGAATCATATAAAACAGTGTCTGACTTGCCTGACAGTGAGAGACAGTGATGCGTGAGCTCCACTGAAAGTCTTCTGTCCTATTGGTTGTCGCTCGCGAAAATCGCTTCTCATTTGCATAAAGTTGAAATTTCTCAAATTTTGTCGCTTGTCTCTTGTCGATTGACACGCCCACATTCTGTGGCCTATGATCACTGTCGCTCGTGTTGCCGGAAGTCGCCAGTGCTCCACTGAAACGAATGGGATCATGACGCTTTGTCGCTGGTGGTGTGAACGGGGCTTCAGTTTCAATTGTTAGTTTTAACCTGACGCAGTTAGCATTTTCACATCCTGGACCATGTAGTTTAAAGAGCAAATGTATTTGTGCCCATTTGTGTACCAATGAGCATGCTGGTCTGAAAACGAGGTGTGTTGCTATTTTGAGGCAACAATTTTTTTTATTTTTGCAATTTAAAGGGCACATTAGTAATATACACCTATAGGCGGGTGCACAAAGTGCATACACTCTGCTTATTACACACACAGGAACAAGCAGCAGCACACAAACTAGCCAAATATTAAAAATAAAAGAATGGGCTATATGCACGCATAAGTTCCGCATTTGACGCAAGGATGCTCGTCCATTTCCGTTTGTGGAGATTAAAGCGGAGGAAAACGGGATTATGGCAGAGTCTTTAAAATTTACTGTCCTCCCGTCTTTGAAAGGAAACGTACATACGTTTAGATGTAATTTTATATATAGTTATGTTTATTTAATATAATTTTAAAAATAAGCATAAACACAACGAGGGGTGTCTGTTTTATCTGTTTTTGTGACTAACGTTTCTTTAGTATAACCATGGAGTATAAAATTCAATATAATTCTCGGTATTGCATTGGACTCTACGATCGGCGGAAATTATCGAGCATCCTTACATCTTCACCGGAAATACCGCAGTGCATAGACCCCATTAAAATGTAAAAGATTATTATTGTGTACATAAAGATATGGTGGATTTCAGCTTGTCCCGTAGATGGTCTGCTTGCACGATTTAACCTCTTACACAAGCAGATCCGTTTGCTCACTGGAGATATGCTTAGACTTTCTACTTGCAAATTCCGTCATGTAAATAGCAATCCATCATGCCGCAAGCACAACTGGCTTTTAAAAGGATTGGGAAATTACACTCTGATTGGTTTATTTCACGTTATGTCCAAAACACACCCATTTCTTTTCTTTCTTTTCTTTTAGACATGCGCTGAACTATTTTTTTCGTTGTTAAACTAGCAAAAATGGATTCAGACACGCTCTAAAAGGCACGCTCTACGGTGCACTTGCGCCGTGCACTTTAGGCCATGCGCTTAGATGTTAAAATAGGGCCCCTGATGTCTTAAGACCTTTTAGACTAGATATAAACAATAGGTCAATATTCAAGCTAACAATTTAAAATCTGAGTGTGATATTGCTTTTATAAAACTACTAAATAAACAAGAAAAGCAATTTTTGAGTTACTTTTAGATCCATTATTGCCTGCTCCACTACATTTTACACTTGCCGACTTTGAATAGAACAAGTTGTGTATGCAATCAGAACCTACGACACGTACAAAAAGCTGCAAACCGTACTGTGAAAACCATTTAGAATGTCCTTGCACTTGAAAAAGTCGTGAAAGGAAAGGGTTTTAAATATCCTACATAATGCATTTATGAGGCATTACAATCAAGCTGTGAAACCTTGTCTCTTTTGTGCGAAAGTTCTTTCCTTTTATGAACAGTGAATATAAACCAAGAAGACACTTAAACAGGAAGAGACTTTCAAAGCGAGAGATAGAAAGACATAGAAATTGGATAAACTAAATTAATGAAGAAAGGCACTTGTGCTCCAGATACTAAGTAATGACAGTGTTTGAGCCACATAAAATCTAATAAAACAACACAGGCAATGTAGCGCATGTGATGAAAACAGTTGCATCCCGCCACTATGTGAAGTAAGCAGGCTGTGCCATGCATTTCAATGACCTCATTAAATAAATATAATTAAAAGGGAACTTTGTGAAGCAATGGAGCAGAGAATCCAAATTAAGATGCTTAATTTCCTCCTCATTGTATTACTGCTCTTAATGGAGAAGTAAGTTTGTTTTCTTATTTCATTTGAATACTATGTTTGTGTTTAGTATGACAGTGAAATGAGGTTATTGTAAATACATGCAGGCACACATTGCCTCTGAGTTTAAGGTGCCCAAACAGTTGAAACTGTTAAAACGTATTACGTCTTATGTGTCCACATACAATAATTATATATATATATATATATATATATATATATTAAATGGCATTGTAAGTATTCAAATTGCAAAAAAAAAACAGCCCTAGGGTAAAACAGCCCTAGGAAGATGGTGAAAACCTTTAAGAAGTTGAATGAGACTAATATTGCCATACTGCCAGTAAAATCACTATTGAC